TGCGTGCGTGCGTGCGTGCGTGCGTGCGTGCGTGCGTGCGTGCGTGCGTGCGTGCGTGCGTGCGTGCGTGTGAAACAGGAGAAAAGAAAGTTTCAATATTGTATTTAAATAATATTTATAAGTATACTGGAAAATTTTCAAGACGTTTCTTCAAACTTTTCTTTAGGTTTGCATCTCGTACAAGAGCGAGAGTTGGCCGAGCGTTTAGTTTTAATAAAACGCCAAGCAAACTAAATAGAGCAATGTCTACAATTATGTCGCCATTTGGAGCAACACAAAATCTTCCCTCGACAAATCAGCAAATAGTTCAGATGCGGCTAGGTAGTTGCAACAACATCAGCGTTAGTTGATAATCTTTTTTATATAAATTTTTCTTCTATTCATGCTTTTCTTTTTCTACTTTTACTTTGCATCCATTATATAGTCATGTTACTTTTTTCATTAATTTTATTTTGATTTGTTTTATATATTGGATGAGTTATAAAAGAAACTAAAATAAATAAAATTTAATTTAATTTAATTTAACATTAATAATATTAATATTTTAAATATTTTGAGCAAAATATAATTTTTTTATATATATATTATACATATATTAATGATTAGCTAAATAAACTTATTCTTCACTCATTCTGTTAAAAAACTAAATTTTTATTTTTAAATTATTTTGAAACTATTTCATTTTATATTATTTTTACTTGCAATATATATGCAATTTATTTCTTTTTACTACATTATTAAAAATTATAAAAAAAGAATATATTGATAATTATATTAATAAATTTTCATGCTTACTTAAAGTCAATGGATGAATTATTTTGAATATCTCATGTAAGTACATTATATCAAATGAATATATTAGAATCTGTTTTATATTTATTTTTTAATGAAAAGTTTTTATTAGTTTCTTAGTTAGTTTATTAGTTTCTTATATATTTTTATCACTAGTCTAATTTTATAAGACTTAATATTTTCATTCTTTTCATAAAATATTATAAATTAGATAATATATCTATGTAACTTCATAATATAAAATAAAGCTTTTTAAAAAAATCTATTATATAATTAATAATTATATTGCAATTACATACATCTTATCTAACAGATCCTAATTTTTTTCTTTTTATCTCATATTTATGTCTCTTTCAATAGATTAAAATTTCCTACTTTTTAATTTACTAATAGAATGCATAATTTAATATAATTTTATATATATATATATTTTTTTTTAATATTAAAACTTTATTTTTTATATTTTTTCTTATATAAAGATATTAATTTTTAAGTCTTGTATTTTTCCAGGAACTAGATAATGGCGGTTCAAGTTCTCCAAATAGAGAGGACGTCCTAGTAGCGCCGATGTCGGATCAACCGACTCGAAAGGCTCTCAGTATGGCTTCTCTGCGAAGGTTATAATTAGTATGCAAGAAGTCATACTTCCTTTTGCTACAGTCGTTTAGTATTCTGAACAAAGAGACGTGCATTTTTAATAAACCACTGTGGTACGTTAAACTAATATATATCATCTATATCGATAAGACATTAAATATAACAAAAAAGGCCCGAAGACATACTATAAACATTTTTACTCATCATAGTTCTGTTTATAATGATTATAATTATTTCATTTCTGTCCAGCATTATATTTCTGGAATAGAAATTCAGTACAACTTTCTGAATACCGTCTTATCCTCGGATACATCATTATAAAAATGATATTGTTATTAGTGCCAATAATGTCTAGTTATTGTTATATTACTATTATTAACATCTTTTATTTATTTTATGTATTATCTCTTGTAATTATTGTATATGCCTTCCTGTATAATTTTCACACTTGCCGATAAGACGTGATAAGAAATCAATTTTTTTATATAAATACAGTTTGCTCTTTATCGAGTCAAGTCAATTATTCTAGGAGATATAAAATCAAATTACAATGATTCAAAGATACTTTTTTACGGACTTTCTAATAATTATTTTAATGGTAAATATAGCCAGACTTATATCAATAGACACTGCAGGCATGTGCAAAAATTTTTCTTAATAAATGTACCAATAATTTATAAAAGAAATAGTATTTAATGTTATATGTGTTTAATGTCGTTAATTAATATATCCCAGTTTCATAATCTTGATACTAGACAAAGTATTTATTTAAAAATGGATTAGGCAAGTATGCTATCATCTAATCACAGCATGAGATAAATATCCTCAATCCTAACTAATAAGAATAATAATTTTATGTTTTCGACATTACAGTTTTTTGCAATTTTTAATATTTTACTCACTGTTTTTTCCATTTCTGTTTTTTCATTTATTAGAATTTGTTCAGCGGGAGTCATACAGAGGAAGTCTGATCTTTGAGCTATAAAAAATTTACATGCGCCTTTATTTCGCTTTAATTGTTTATCAACGAGGATACCTGATGCTGTAGATTTTTATACATATCGTGTACAAATGTTATTCATATTTTAAACCAAATTAAGTTTTGGAACAAAGTCTGGTACATGTGTGAAACATTCAAGTTCAAAAATGAAAGCATTATAAATATTAATTGTTAAATTTATACTTGCTATGTGCCAATATATAGCCATGTATACGTAGTAACAAAAATATTGCCAGCTCTTAATAGATTTGTTTATATAATATATCGTATTTCAATGACTTGCGATTTAATCGGATTTATTACAAGAAAATGCAACAATGCAATTTATTAATGATTTTATATGACACAATTTATTAAAAATAATAACAAAAAATGTAAAAATCTCCAAGTTTGCAAGATATAGGATTGAAACAAAAAACAGATTCTTAAAATCTGTATTATCTTATAAATCTTTATACAATTTTGTATCTTTGTACTTTTTTCATAATACTGCCTAATTGACGATCCCAAGAAAAAGTGAAAACTTGCCAATATTAAAAATTATTATTAAAAGTAAGGACTTAAACAACGAAAAACATTGTTTTTTCTATATTGTTAATTACATAACGGTGAAATATGATGGAAAAGATAACATATTAAATACAATTTATAATATTCTTTATAATAACATGCACAAATTACATCTTTGTCTTAGAATTTGTCATTTCCTGCTTGATTTTTGTTTACCGGTATTCATTTAAATAAAATAAAAATCTTTCAATTTATTTAATCATAATTTGCAGAAATTCTCCTTTATGTAATTAATACACATATAAAAATAATATCGACAACTTGCTTTCGTTAAAGCATTAATTATTCATTTTGAATTTGATTTATTTAATTACACATGTTCGAAATTAAAATATTATTGACTATCAATTAATTCAGGTATAATTAAACAATTCATTGAAAAAAAACGTTGCGTATGAATAAAATTATTATTTATAGCGAAAAAAATCACGATTGATGAACTCTTTACCAATAAAAATTCAATACGTGATAAATATTGATTCAAGGATTTGCAGACGTACATTATCATAGCTTCCATACAGCGTTCTAAATATTTCATTTCACTATTACATATATATTGTTACAATTCGATTTCATGCAACATTAATAATCATTATTAATATTGCAGAAGTTGCGTTGCTCAATACAGCAACATCTTGCCATTGTAAAGTTATTCGTAAAATTGAATACGGGCCATATATGCGTAAGATCGTTTTACAAATGTATCCCAATATATATTCGCTATCATATTGTAATAACGAATATTCCTAAATGTTTCATTTTTCCGTGGTTGTATGTTCCAGCTGTATGTTTCAGCATTTTCTTGATAATTCGTTATTTTATGTTTAACTAAAGTTTATTTTCAAATCAATTAGTACGAAGTACAAGGAAGAACAAATATTTTGTTTAACTGCAAAATACACTTGATCATTAAATGTATTTAGCGAGAAATCTTATAGGCACAAAATGGTTTCGTTTCCTGCAGTCTTTCCTGGCCTTTACTCGATCAATATATTATGTTCTCCGATTTATTTTTACAAAATGATAACAATACAATTTTTTAAAATGCTGAAAGAAGATCAAGCTTTAATATTTTATAACTTCGTAACATTCAACTTATTACTGCCAGCATGTGAATTACCCGATAACATGATGTCGATATATTTCTGATCCCTTGTATGTATATATTGATTGATTAAAGAAAACCAGCATGAGTCGCAAAAGACAGCAGAGAAAATGCGACAGGATTTCGATTAGCTGCTTGTAAAAACTTATATGTTATATTTTATATTACCGATTATTGTTCCCTTATCATCCCGAAATAAATATGATTAGTGCCTTGAGTATAAAACGTACGAATAAAATTTGTATTGTATAATAAAATATATTCTTTGTATATGTGCCTGATTCACGAAAGAGATAAATCAGAGACCTATCTCTTTCTCTAGATTTCGTCGAGGTCTCTGGTATAATATTTTGTGCCTCTTGATTTTAGATTATTTATTAAGATTACGACTTTGCATACTGCTCTGTCTTATTACAAACCAGTGAGAGACATAGTACCTTATACTTCCTAATAATGAAAATGTGCTTTTTCTCAATGCCATTCGCATGCATATTCGAAATGAGCACACTATAATAATAATGATAATAATGATACTATATTAGAACCATTAAATAGAATAGTGGTACAAATCGCAGGAAAAAATTTTTTTATCAGTTTCCGTTAATTGATCTGGCATCACATAGTTCGACTTAACGTGAAATTTAAGTCTAAAATAATTGTTTAACATAAAGATCAATATAAGATATACTACTATTCTCGAAGTCTTGTGACGTGTAGAAAGATATCTGAATATCTATACTCGGACACCTGTCTTGTGCGTAGCTTCCAATATTTGATAGTCACGCAAAAGGTTAAAATTATATATATATAATTATATATATAATGATATATGTAATTATATACAATTATATATATCAGTTTACCTTTATAAAAGAAAATGATATGTCAGATGCATCGGAAAGCATCGATCACAGTACACCCGTGACACCCGTAATCGATTTATTTCCCCAATTCAGTCATTTTATTCCGGAAAATAATCACAGGTGACGAGGTAGTATGAGAGTTGCGTAATGATATGCCAAAACAAGTGTCCTTGATTTAGGTGCATTGTAAATAGTAAAATTAAGTATTTCAAACTAATGTATATCCTAATGTAGAGAACATTTTTTACTATACGCTTAAGGTTATCATAATATCGTCTTGCAAGTTTCGCGCAGTTATTTATACATTATTAATAATTGTAATTGAATGTATAAATTTAACATTTATTACGTAAATCTAAATCATTGTTTCTTTATTCGTCGACCTTCTCCGAATTTTTTCAGACACATGATAGTGAAGTGTAGTTAGTATTAGAAATTTTTTTCTTTTTTAATCTTGAAAAGCGCAATTTAGCAAATTTATTAATGAAAATATGCATGTTGTGTAATCTTCCGCAAAATAATAAATTAAAGAAGTCAATTAGAATGCAGATCTGAAGTATGTTTTTTACTATTTAAAAGATAGAATGCAATTACGTTTCTTTTATGTTATTACATTATTAAAAAATCATGTTGCTTTCATTAAATTTACAATGTATCTTCACAATAGAAAAAAATTAAAATCTCGCGTTTCCTTTTTTTACACATTCAAAAGAGAACTCAACACACGCAATTTACATATATATCAGAAGCAGAGAAGATTCAATGTTACACTAAGAAAGACATCTTTTGTTGTGAAATCAGGTCACGCTTTAGCTTAAATTGTTTAAATGTACACGTGCATGCAGCAAATTCAATGTAAAAGATAATTAAAGATGTAAATTATTATCTCCTTTTTTCTTTAAATTATTATCTCTTTTTTTTTCTTTATTATTCTGAAATTTCAGCAGATCTCATTTTCTTTTATATCCTTTAGGGAAATATTTAAAGTTGATAATAACTGCATAAATATTCCTTTGAATAAAATGATATTACGTTGCAGTAATTAATTATTAGAATTACATTTGCTAGGAATAACGTTATATCACTCTATCACTCTTCTATATTACCATTATTCATATAAGTTACATTTATGCAGATAATATTCGTACATTATCATAGCGTGCCCCAATATTCATTAATGAGATTTTTGAGATATGAATAACACGTGCATGTCACGTTTTGCATGTTCTAGTTTGTAAAATTAGACTTTACCATCTTTACAATACTTTTTACCAAAAAGTAACAATTGTTGATTAAGAAAACGGGGAAAATATTAAAAAATATTTAAAGGAAATATAGCAATTTAGCATTTATAAATTTGTATTTTTTATTTCAGCAATGACTAATTAATTTTTTCCTCAATAACTGTATTATTCGAAATAGTCGAAGATAAAATGTGAGACGAAACAGATGATGCTGCGTTAAATATGTCCGAAGCAACACAACTCCGGTTCAGTTCTATTTGTGCTTGGCAAGCGTGGAAATAAATTGATTATTGCAAAACCGAAATCAGCAAGTGGAGCTAAGATCGAACATCAACAAAAGCGTAATGCGGTTGGAATCGCTGATGCGAGGTTTTCATCGAGGAAATAGCGACTACGAAACAGCAACTCGGTTAACAGTGATGCGTTTCGCGCCTCTATTCTCCCGATACAAATTACAACTCGGCAATTGGTAGAATCGATATCATCCTTTTGCTCTTTACAAAGCATTCACCTCTCATTTCTCTGATATATATATACTCTTAACTTAACTGATATATACTCTTAACTTTTGATTACATCATCAAGCGGAGAAGTTTAAGTGCGTACTCGATACTCCCTCCGAAGACAGATAAATCCGATAAAAAGAGTACGTTTTTGATGGGTTGTATCCTGAATTTTACTGGACAGTATATCTTCGCGTAGCAGAAGAGACTCCGCGAAATGTTGTCAAGGTATCTCGTTGGAGAATCATCCTGATGTCCTCGATACATATCTCGATATACGAGCACCTGAAGAACATCTTTAAGGGAAACATACTAAAATGTAAATATACTGTTATCTACGCTAACATATACGTAAAAGCCAAAGTAATCGGGAATGAAATAAAAAGTGGACAAAAGTGCTAAAATACCTTATAAAAAGTGAAATCGTGGGTCAATTTGACATTTAAAATGTACATTGAGTGAGTTTTGTTGGAAATTTATTAGGTAAAACGAGAAAATATTTTTAAAAATATTTTACGTAAATAGGATTTGATTTATTTCATTCCTCCTTAATAAGCAAAGATATTCTTATTTTTCTTTTTATTTCTTTAAGTAAATCCGATAAACCGTAACTTCCGATGACTCTTGCAATTCTCGCACTCTCTGAGCGAGGACTGTCGCTTGTTAAAAGAAGCTTAATAGATTTCTGAAATGCGAAGTTTTAAATTGAGTTCCTCCACGAAGTTACGCGATCTTACTAAATAATTACCAAATAATAACTCCGCGATATGAAACTTAGTTTACAATTTCACATTCCGAGAATCTATAAAAACTTTTTCCACGAGATATGCGAGTCATTTCTTTATCGATTTATCGCGTTTATTTATTTATTTATTTAACGGGACTCAAAGGAAGCAACTTGTTTATTGGCTCATTAATAGAAACAGCACGTGCATAGGTACAGACCAAGTTTTCGAAAGTGAGCTTTCCCATTTCGCCGGCGGTATATTATTGTTATGTTCCTTGAGCTATTTCCAGCTCTCAGCGTACGACTATTTTCCAACGTTTCGCAATCTCTTAATTAATGAGCGCGTCGTACATATAAAGTAAACTCCAACGAAATTCCACGCGCGAGTAATCAACTTGCCTGATTAAAAAATTGCCTCGGCTATCGGCACCGCAGGAGCGGATAACGTGCTGTCCGCGCTACAGTTTTTTTTCTTTTTTCTCCCCTCTGCCTCCCCCTACCCTTCTTCTCTCGAGGAGAATGAAAACGTTTACGCAGCAAACGCGGAAACGTACGCCCTGCATCGTTAACATTTCGCTTTTCCAACACGAACGCTGAAAAGGGGCGAACGGAAATGTTTTATTGCGGACGCGTGTGCCGCTTGCGTGCGTGGGCAAATATGCAACGAAGCGAATTTACGAGCGAGTAAACAGCTCGCCGCGCGTATACATATGCTGATAGCGCATCCCGGACAATCCCGGATGTCCCGGCTGCGACTGCCAACGGTGCCAACTCGCCGGAAAATATCAGTCTCATGGCGTGTATTTTTTTTTTTTGCTTCCGGCTGCGTTCACCCGTTATGAAATCGCTTCGTTACATCGGGATTATAGTGAAGTTACGCGTAACATCCAGGTGTTTGACGTGCTCTTCTCTCCTCCTCCGAGCTCTCTCCTCTCCGAGGACTTCGGCGGAAAAAAGAGGAAGAAGGGAAACTCCGCTGTTTTATTGCGCGGGCGTTATGTAAACGGATGGAAAACTTACACAAACGTAATTTCTCGCGTGCTTCGGATAAAAGATTAAATTTCGTTAATAAACGCGCGGAATAGGGAGATCTTGTAAGTTGTGTTTTTGCGCGATTGTGCGATAATTGAGGCCGCGACGTTAATAAATTCACACCGGTTGACCCCCCGGCAGCGGCTAAGATTCTCATACGCGAAGCGAGAGATGAATTGATGAGCGTCGTTAAAAACGACGATTTTGTGGAACGAGTCGAGAATTGAAGGCGGGCCGCATCTGGATTTGAGGGTGGCCTTTTTAATCCCTCGGACGCGCGGAATTGTCAATTTATGGTGTGACGTAATAATTAACTAAACGCCAGCGAAGGCGCGCTGACCGGCTCCCGTAATAATTAACTATATTCAATCCATCAATTATGCGATCATATTATGCGAAGTACGACAGATCGCAATTGCATCTACATAGGCCGCAAAGTGCGGTAACTGTGCATAATCGCCAGGCGGATAATGAACGTACGATTCGCCCAATTTGCACTATCGTTGCTCCCGCTAATGCGGAATTGTTGCGCGCCGCGTTTCGTGCAACCTCGTGCGAAACGTGGAAACTTGGAAATGGAACTGCAAGTGGGCATATCTCAATCCCGCTGTTAATTACGTCATGTTTACATTCGTGTATGCATCCGAGATTGTCGCGCCGCGCAATATGATATATATATATATATATATATATATATATATATATCGCATGGGTATCACGTCTTGT